CACACACACACACACACACACACACACACACACACACACACACACACACACACACACACACACACACACACACACACACACACACACACACACACACACACACACACACACACACACACACACACACACACACACACACACACACACACACACACACACACACACACACACACACACACACACACACACACACACACACACACACACACACACACACACACACACACACACACACACACACACACACACACACACACACACACACACACACACACACACACACACACACACACACACACACACACACACACACACACACACACACACACACACACACACACACACACACACACACACACACACACACACACACACACACACACACACACACACACACACACACACACACACACACACACACACACACACACACACACACACACACACACACACACACACACACACACACACACACACACACACACACACACACACACACACACACACACACACACACACACACACACACACACACACACACACACACACACACACACACACACACGTCTTCAGGGTTTGCAGCATGCCGGAACGGTGACTCTATCTGCTACTTCACTCCGAAGTACCATTATGGCATACTCACCCAGGAATGCTCCGAAGGGATGTCGAACTCCGTCTTGATGTTGGCCGCTGGCACAAACGCCTGGTACCACTCATCCAGCTTCTTCATCACACCTACAAACGCAGCGACATACACAATACCGTAGAATCCCGCGGATAAGCCCACCCGTGCATAAGCCCAGGCCAAGTTCGAACATTGCAAAGCTTTGTTGTACAAGCCCATGGCCTAGGCCGTACCATGTACGTAGTACATGTACATGTACGTGTTTTTTGTTTTTGTTTTTCAAGTTTTGTACATTTCAACACAATCATCGGTTGTTTTTGTTTGCACGGTGATTTTCAGCAATGTACCTCTCATTTCCTTGGTACTTTTCAATAACACAATTTTGGTGTCGGCGTATAAGTCCATGCCCACGTATAAGCCCATGTTTTTGCATACGCCTACCGAAATGTCCTTGTGAAACAGATAAGCTCAGGGGCTTATCTGCGGGATTCTACGGTATGAGTACAGCATACACAATATGAGCACAGCATACACGCACATACACACGCGCTTGTGCATGGGCACATGCCGGGGGAAGCTACCGTTACCAATCAAGACATGAGCCTGGTACAATCTGCTTCTCAGTCATGGTACATCAGTCAGGCAAAGTGGGGAGTCATTATTTTACAACTAACCTGGATTAACTACAGTGTCCTTGGATCCGGAGTAGAGGAAGACGCGCGACCGCTGCAGGTGCTCCAGGTTGTCAATGCCGCTCATCATCTTTGCCCTTGCGATCAGCCATGGTACATTGATCATTAGTGGTACTTTCATACAGTTGACGGTGGCGGAGGTCAGAATGCCTTCAGCACAGTAGTAGGGTCCTGCAAGCCAGGTGAAAATGTCATCATATAATATGATGACATTTTTTGCTTTTACGGTATGGGTGTATCAACGAGAGAGCTTGGAAGCTCAGGGCCCTACGCTATGCTTTTTTGCCTTGATGACCTAGACAAAAAAAAAGCATAGGGATGTTATAAATTCTTTAAAAAATTCCTTTTTTTTCAAGACATAACCTGGGATTCGAACCCTCACTATCGCGCGCCCTGCATGCATCCCCCGATACACTTCGCATACATACTAATTCTTCCAAGTTGTTTCACATTGTGATCTTGCATTTGAAAGCCCTATTTGAATATGCTTTGTGGCCAGCCGTCTTTGATGGCACGGTACGGTAGGGGATAGGTACGGGACAGGTACGATCGAGGGTAATACGACACCGTCTCCCGTACCGTACCGTACCATCAAACACAGCTGGCCACATACAGCTGCCCGCAATATTCAAATAGGGCTTTCAAACGCAAGATAATAACGTAAAGCAACTTGGAAGAATGGGTATGAATGCGAAGTGTATGGGGAATGCATGTAGGGCGATAGTGCGGATTCGAATCCCAGGATATGCCTGAAAAAAAAAGGAGAATTGAAAAATTTATAACATCCTATGCTTTTTTGCCGTCAGATACGGATAGCGCCAGGCGTGACACAAACAAACAAACAAACACCAAATTAAAGCTGTGTGGACCCTGGCTAGCGCCAGACGTTACTGAAGTAACGTCTTCTGCATAGCTACGGGAATAATATTATTATTGATACACCCATACCGTAAAAGCAGAAATTTCTGGTGGTGTATTTTTTCGGTATTCTCCAAAATCGGCGTTTCACTGGAGGAAAATTTTTAGTAAACCTGTTTTCCAGGTAAGTGTACTAGTACTAGAGCCGAAATTTTCGGTGCGTTTTATTTTCGGTAAAAACTGTCGGCACCGAAGTTACGGAAATAAAACACCACCGGAAATTTCTGCTTTTACAGTACCTTGTCTATGCGGGCGGTCCGGGACCGGGCACTGCGCGTAACTTTGAAATGTCTGTAACTCCGAATCACATACATTTTGATGAGGAAAGGCCATACATGTCGATAAGGTACATTACGTCGCTGTTTCCACAAAAGTGACAAAAGAGAAGTAATATTTCCCCTGAAACGCGCCCAAAGGATGCCCGGGCCCCGGTGGACCAAAGTGCTCATAACTTCGCGGTCCGGAAAACCGAGGTATGAGTGTACTAATACATGTAATAATACCAGCGGTAATACAGTGAAATTCCCCTAATCCGGTCAGATTGGGACCAAGCACTGCCCCTACCCCCCCCCCCCAGGTTGGGACCGAGCAAGCACTGCCCCTACTCCCCTAATCCGACAAGGTTGGGACCGAGCAGAGCCCCTACTCCCCTAATCCGGGCAGGTTGGGACCGAGCACTGCCCTTACTCCCCTAATCCGGGCAGGTTGGGACCGAGCACTGCCCCCACTCCCCTAATCCGGGCAGGTTGGGACCGAACACTGCCCCTACTCCCCCGATCCGGGCAGGTTGGGACCGCGCACTGCCCTTGCTCCCCCAATCCGGGCAGGTTGGGACCGAGCACTGCCTGCAACTAGGAATTGTCCGTAACTCACAACATACATATACAGTATCAGGGTTCTAGCCAGGTCAAAATAGAAGGAGGATGGGCAGGGGAACAATTACCCCGTGACCCATTTTCCAAAATTTTCGAAAATTGTCCTGCCATGTCAAATGCAACCCACGGGAGCAAACCCTGGCTTCACCCCAGACAAGTGCGCCTTAATGAGCTCTCTGTGTCTGCATTTTCATTGAATGGCATGAAAAAGCACAAAAACGACAAATGATTAGGAGGGCGCTACTTTTCCACAGGGGCGCTCAATCAAAGTAGGGAGGGGAGGGGGGGGGCTGCCCCCCCCCCTCCCTACCTTCCTTTGGCTAGAACCCTGCATACTGTAAGTCTGACCTGATGCATGCATGTAATGATGATGTCATCAATAACCGACTCATCATACACTACAGTCTTACCTGATGCATGCATGTAATGATGATGTCATCATATGGTCTTACATGATGCATGCATTGCATGCGCTGATGATGTCATCATATGCAGTCTTACAACATTATGTGACATCATGACTTACCTCCGGCTACGATGCCAGCCCCGATGACTTGACTGGAGAAGGCAACATGGTATTGCACTGCAAAGAAACCGCCGGCGGAGAGTCCCGACACCGTCGTGCGATTCATGTAAATGTTGTATTGCCCTGCAGATGTTAGCACACGTTACATGTTTTTTTATAACACGTTAACCTCTACAGAATGATGCTCTGTCGAGCGGGGATTTCAAAATTCTACGGTCCGGCATGATCAATGTTTACATACAGCAAAACCTGTAACTAAAGACCACCGTGACTAGCGACCAACCTGGCACTACAGACCACTTCGCCAGGCACGGACGGCCTCACATTCATACATGGTTGTGCGGTGCAAACCTCTAACTAAGGACCACCTGCCACTAAAGACCGCTTTCTCTGGACCCACAGGGTGGTCGTTAGTTACAGGACCTGGTTTTACTGTACATGTGGAGGGGACGGTTCGATACCGGGACGGTTTGATACCGGAACGGTTCGATACCGGAACGGTTCGATACCGGAACGGTTCGATACCGGAACGGTTCGATACCGGAACGGTTCGATACCGGAACGGCTTGACAGCCAAATTTGTATAGACCCAAACCGATCATCAGCGTGGATTGATCACTCGAAATATGTTTGTGGAAGGAAACTGGCATGTTGAAGTTTGGCCAGAGTCAATCGAACCGAGCCACTCCTTTGTGTTGGCCCATTACCTCCAAGTTGCCTAATTTTTCGCTTCAAATCAGAGGTGGCTCCAAACCGGAAAGGTTTTAGAGTGCAGGTCAAAATCACTCTGAGTTCTGAAATTAGGCAATTGCTATCGCTCCACGACGGCCAGTACAGAGTAACAGTAAGCCTTGTGAGTGCTTCCATTAGTTTTCATTGGTATAAGGTGCTTTATTGGCGAGAGGTGAGCCGCTGTTTACCTGCGACAAGAAGTTGATTTTTCGAAAGACGTAAAACTCAAGTCGCAGTGCGAAGCAACACGTCAAAAACTCACCTGCTTGGCATGGCGAGTCTGGTCATCGCAGAGCCATGAAATTTTGGCTCGGAGTATAACACATCGTAGTCTCACTGTGACATATGTTGTCTAATCAAAATACCAAGAGAGAAAGTGAATATTGAGTCCGGTCCGGTTTGCGACATATCTCCTATTTGAAACCGTCTCCTCTACCACCGAGAGCCATTACTCGAGAGCTGACCTACATGTATAATCTCGTCTCTCTCTCTCTCTGATCTCACTAGTTAAGGGAATGGGAATGGGAAATGTCTCTCTCTCTCTGCTCTGCCAGATGTTCTTTATTTTTTTGCATTATCGCTGTTCAGGTCGTTGAACGTCTCAGTAGCTTGTCAGTTTTGTGCCCTATTACCACACTTTCCGACTGCTTATCATCTTGTTACAGTCGTGGATAGTTGCTTCATAACTCGTTTCCATGTGATGTCTTCTATTTGAATCATTGTCACTATTGTCGACAAATACCCAATAAACAAACTGTTGTCTCCCAAGCGCACATTAACATTCATTTTTACTTACCCAATTTGTCCGCTAACCGCATCTCTCGCCGCTCACCCGCCACACATTGCTGCCAGGCGGTAGCTAGGAGACAGAGCAAGGCGAGCGCTCGCTGAATGGCCATTATCACTGATGCCATTAAGATCCACAATGACGGAGTCTGAATTACCCGAGGATGAGATGACTAGATATTTGTGTGCAAGACCTCCGTGGGTCACAAACAAAGTCGCTGAATGGGACAGGTTCTACTTTCGTCACCGTTGCAAGCAGAGAGCTGACTTCAACCGATAGTTGCCACAAAGCTGCGGCGATTCCCGCGAAAGACCTACAATAGTATCAGGAGCGCTTCTCAGTCCACTCGACTTGAGCCTACTGAATCTGTGCGACTGGTAGACCTACGAGGAATTTACTTGATGACCTTACGAAGATAGTAAATAATTAGTTGTGGATTTGTTCATCATCACGACATCAGCGCTAGTCACTCATGATCACGTGTGCGTGTCTGATTATGGAGACTGGAACGCGAGAGGAATGCCAGCAAGATCCGGTGACAGCGCTGCACTCATATGAAGTGGTGATGCCCATCATGGACATGGTCATTGGTGCAGCTGGGTGACCTTCGAAGCAGGGAGTTTCCGAGTTGGTCTTCCTGCCAGGATCCTGGTCAGGTGACGAGTGCTATCCACACTTTTGGGCGCAGTTTCCTACACAGCTCGTGCTCGGCATCAATCTTCGTCTGGTGTTACATTGCATGATCACTGAGTCTGTTGGTGGCAGGAGGCTAGTCACGATGATTGTACTGTAACAAGATCCCACGATGTGCACTGCAGATATAGCCCCCTCCCCCAAGAGGGATTCTAAAACTTGAAAAAGGTGCGGGAACCAGACCCCCAGTGATGCACGGCTTGTGGCTATGGCCTTATGGATGGAGTAGATCTACACCTGGTACGTGTGGTCGGTGGTATCATTGCCAAGGGAATGATGTCATGCAGACACATACACTGAAGTGTAGGCCGCTAAGTTTCCTTGGCACGGGCACGGAGTCATCAAGATCAGGATCAACCGACACCACTGTCACTGGCCAGCAGAACTAGATACCTCCCCCCCCCCCCCCCCACACACACACCCCTATCCAGTCTGGTGAATACGCTAGCGTCGCTGCCAGGGTGGCATGCAGATGTCCAGGTCTGTGGCTGCACATACTTGCTGTGCTTACAGCCTACAGGTCTGTGCAATCGTACAGACCACATGTAAGCACTGCGCGGGTATGTGCGATGGTTCCGTCGGTCGCCGAAGAACTGGGTGCGGGTCAGCCTCGTAGCCGAGACCGTTTCCATGTACATACATTACAGTATTAGATAAACCTTGTTTTGTTGAAACATGTTGTTACTAAGACAACTCCCTAGGATAAAAAATAAAAAATTCACGGTTCGCGTGAGACTCGGCCAAAGGCCCAGTTTTCCGCATCCGCAGGAACGCCACCACCCTCTTGGATCAAGGCGCAGATGCAGCTCCTAAGCTCCTAGGATAAAGACTTGATTAAAGAGGGTCAACCTGGGTAAACCCTAAACTAAACAACTAGTAGTCTATAGTACAAAAGAAAAGGAGGAAGAAAAATAAGGCTCTACGAAAACAAGAGGTAATGATGCCATGCAGCCAATCAGAGCACAGGTATCAGTCACATGACACACTGGCAGAGAAAGAGAGAGAGAGAGAGAGAGAGAGAGAGAGGGGGGGGGGGGCAGGTCGGTCGCATAACACACTGGCGGTGTGGTCACATGACACACTTGTAGATCAGTCACGTGACACACTGGCAGAGAGAGGGGGGGGGGGGCAGGTCGGTCGCATAACACGCTGACGGTGTGGTCACATGACACACTGGTAGATCAGTCACGTGACAGACTGCCAGTGTGGTCACATGACACACTCGTAGATCAGTCGCGTGACACACTTGCAGAAAACAAAGAGTGCACTACATCACCACCATGACAATAGCGGCCGTGACAACAACAAGCGAGGCCGCGAGGCGACCGGCCGCCGAACCGTCCTGGGAGAGCTGGCAATTTTCGGCATGAGCGTGTGTGTCGGAGGTTATATTGCGGACACACGCGTTCGGATTGTGCCCGCTGAACTCCATGGTGAAGCAGTTGGTGTCGTTGGCGTAGAAGAACGACGTGCCCCACTGACGGTTGCACAGACCCCTGGCGTTGCCGTACCATTGTTCAAACGTTCTGCAGTCAGTCAACGTATGCAGACACACACGTAAACAACCATACAAGCTATAGCAGGGACCGCCGGAAGCAGTGTCTGATTGGTCCTGTAGTATCATGGCCTTTCAAGTCTGTGTATGATATGGCGGGTACGCCAGCCCTCCACAGTAAGAAACATGTGTTGATGGCTGAAACGTTGGTCCGGTAATAACCTGACCAACCGGACCGGTTCCGGCGGGCCTGCACTGATGATAGCGATAATACCCAGATTGTCGAGAGTGCTCAACACCACAAGGATGGAGCAATGCCACAAAAAGGCAGAAGAGCACAGAGACAACCGGCTAGGTCATTGTCCTAAAACACAAGCTATACAACTCGCAGCTCTCTCCATTGCTGCAACGACAACACCAGCGGCAGCAGATGCAGAAGCACCAGTAGCAGCAGCAGCAGCAGCAGCAGCAGCAGCAGCAGCAGCAGCAGCAGCAGCAGCAGCAGCAACAGCAGAAACAACACACTGGTGACAGCCACAGCAACAGCAGCAACATACGCAGCTGCATGTGTTACCTGCATTGGTGATTGGCTGGACAGAAGTAGCGTCCAAGAGTTACGTTGAAGGTGAAGTCATTGACAAAGTCAGGTGAGCAGATCTGGACATCTTTGCATGCCTCGTACCATCTATCACAATAGCTGAACAGAACGGTGAAAACAAGACAGACATGATGTAAGTCAGGAATCTTTCATTCCTTCCCACTAGTCAAGGGAATGGAAAAGGGAAAACGTCTGAAGAAAAATTGACTATCATTACCCAGTGTCTGCTCCAGACGGCTGGTCAGCAACCCGGTTGGGGGGGGGGGGTACTTGGACTCCCTAACGTACAATAGCCGCACTTGAATATACCTGACTATGACCCGGTTGCAAGACTTGTGCCAGGTACAGGTGTATCCGGTTGGTTTGAAATCCTAGAGCAGACGCTGCTACCAGGATTCAAACCAGGGACCTTCACTTGAGGCCAGTAATGCTATAACCCCTGAGCTATGGTGTAGCTGTCATCCCAGCAGCGACCGTTAAACTTTTTATTTTCATGCATTGGAAAAGATTTCATACATACTATAATATATTGTACTTACTCGAATAGAGCCCCCCCCCCCCACCCCCGGGAGCCCCCCCCCCCACCCCCGGGAGCCCCCCCCCCACCCCCGGGAGCCCCCCCCCACCCCCGGGAGCCCCCCCCCCCCGCCCCCATAGAGCCCCTCCCCTTGAATAATACCCCCCCCCCCCGTGTAATGCCCGTTAGAAATAATACAAGCACCTCTCGAACATACCGGCAAGCAAGAACTATTCTTCACAAAGCTTGGGAAGACCGAGCAGTGCTATGCTCAGTAAGGTCAAGTGCGTACAAAACGTCACGTGTACATTATGTATGTGCATGCCGGTACATGACGGTAACGAACACACACACACACACGCACGCACACACACACACACACACACACACACACACAAACGCACACACACACACAAACACACCCACACAAACACACACACACGTACACACGCACACACGTGTACTCATGCAGACTTACTCGGCACAGACAGGCACCCGGTGTACATAACCAGCAAAGACAGGGTGCTCCCATTGTCGAAGATACGGATCACATTCATAGAAGCAACTCTCCAGCTTCAAATAGCGATAGCAAGCATCAGGAACCTCTCCACAGTCATTCAGGTAGAAGCCATAGAGCTCCCGATCTCCATTTAGTTCAATTGAGCTGCGACAGCATAATGGGAGAGAGATAGAGAGACGGGGGGGGGGGGGGGTGAAGGGAGGGGGAGGAGAGAAGGGGGGGGGAGTGACAGAAGGGGGAGAAGGAAGAGAGAGAGAGAGAGAGATGGAGGGGGAGGGGGGAGAAGGGGAGAAGGGGGGGGGGGGGAGTAAAAGAAAAGAAGTACAATGAAACCTTGTTAAAAAGACCAACTCAGGGCAAGAGAAAGAACCCCCAACATGCTGAAAATAATACCCCCCCCCCGCCCCCCCCCCCCCCCCCAGGACCAACGCAGGTAGTCTGATTGCTAGCCCTTCCTGTGCAGTGGTCGCGGTGCAGCAGCTGTGATCGCCGTACTGCGAGCACACACACACCGGTGAAGTAGTGCACATATCAAAGTTTTCTGAAACGAAATTGGCCAACCTTAACCCGCTCGCACCCGGCCATAACGAAAATATTTCGTTTTGAGACAAAGGTTCGATATTTATTTTATGGACGCGCCCTTACCGTGCGGTGGTCGCTATGCATATCGGACCATCACACTTCACCGGTATTTTTCTACTCCCTGCTCCTTACCGTGCAATGGTTGCTATGCAGCAGCTGTGGTCGCTGTACTGCGAGCACATGCCGGTAAGGTAGTGCATGTACATATATCACAGTTTTCTGAAACGAAATAGGTCAACCCGCTCCCGCCCCATAGCAAAATATTTCGTTTCTTGAAAAAGGGTTCGATGTTTATGGACTCGCCCTCACCATGAAGTCTCTCTGCCAGGGAGTACTAAAATACTGGTATTTTTCTACTCCCTGCTCCTTACCGTGCAGTGGTGGCCGTGCAGCAGCTGTGATCGCGGTACTGCGAGCAGACTCCGGTGAAGTTCGACACGTGTCCTGTGTGGCTGCGTGTGGCGTGATGCGTGCCCGGCAGACATGACACGTTGGTGCGGACAACGCGGCGACTCTGCAGTGCCGGTAGCTGCGACGACGACGGTGCATGGTCACCACGGCTGCTGGCGGCCATGATTGTCACGGAGACGGCGACGAATGCCATGACAACGCGCCATGACGATGATGAAGGCGGTGGTGACATTTCGCCCGAGACGTGTGATGGTGATAGTCCGCCAAGCCAAGGAGTTGTGTCTGCATGGAGAGGGGCAGTGAGAGCGGAAGAGTAGTGTTTTTTTTTTATTCTTTGAAGATGTTTGGCCTCTGCTGGTCTGGCGGTCCGTACAATGGGTGCGAGATCGCAACGTAAATAACTCACGCAATAAGGGGCTAGTGGCCGTGTTTAAACAGTGAAACACTAAAGCAGGGTTACTAGCCTCTTATTGCTATACAGGCTGTATAGCCACGTGTGCTCTTTCTGCAGCAGTGAGTTCCGACTGGGGGGGGGGGCTGAGGAGTTTGCAAACCAGGGTGTAGCGATTTTACTACTCCCAGGTGCTTGCCCTGCAGCGCGGGACTTGGAGTTGGATGGCCTAATGCCCGGGGAGGCTCATGCAGGCACGGGCCGTTGCACTACGGAAACAGAGCTAGCTGCACAGACAGTGAACGCAACTTCTTCGTTTTCTTCACGAGAGCAGATCACATAATGGTCAAAACTGCTTCTGCACTGAAACGTTTGAAGTGAGAACGTAGATCTACGCACACACAGTATGCGAGCGCTCACACACAATGATCTGGAATTCCCATCAAATTTCCCCTTCCCACCGTCAAACCACATACCTGACAGTGAAACCGGCGGATGTCGTCACGGTGGGGTGATCTGGCGACGACAAACTGATCAATAGTCTATTGATGCGTTGCGCCACCCTCCGCACTGCCACGTCTGCACCCCTGTCCGGGAAAACTAACAAGCACACACACACCGCTACTTGACGTCTCGCGCACCGCGGGCAGGAAGAGGACTAGAGTGTCTGAGTCCGCTAGCACTCGTCAAGTTCCTAGCAGGTGATCCGATCGGCGGTCCGAAAGCAAGATGGAAAGCAGTGGAAATAATAATTGGTGGAAGGCGAACGGGTACCCTCGCGAGGTAGCCTGCGGACGAGTGAGTGCCATGCCGCCAGGTCGCTCATGCCCATGGCTTTTAGTTTTGCCAAACCGTGGCGTGTGAGCACGATAACCAATAACAGACTTCACCAAGCATCGCGTGTACGCAGTCGATCGATCTCGAAGGCACGCAACGCACGTGCACACTGTCCGGACTCGATCGACTCGCGTACTCTGGTACTCGACTCGAGGTGGTACTCCATGGCACACCATGCATGGTATTAAAAGTGGTAGGTAGGCCTACACAACAAGGGAGTAGCTACTCCCAGTGGTGGTAGCAGAACTCTTCCAGTGCTAGCCAGCTAGGTCATAGAGAGTGGAGCGGAAGTACTTGTCGTTCTTATCTTACGATGGGCGTCCTCAAGTAAGTAAGTAAGCTTTACTCAGTTTGTGTGGCAAGATACCAAAGGCAAAGACAAGTCCTTGTCCACGCATGCACAGAGCGTGCAGAGTGTGGCTTTGCATGCATCTGATAGCTGCTAGATGCATGCGTGCTGCTCTGCCGCTGCATGATGCGCATAAATAATGATGGCGAAGGGTTGGCCAAGTAGCCAAGCGGTGGCTATTGGACCAGGAGCATGGAAGTGTAATAGGTAGCCGAGTGGTATCAGGAGGCACACACAAGAAGACTGACTAATATTATGTTCTTCGGCTCAATCTGCCTGAAGTTATGTATACAACTGCTCCGGCTCAATCTGCCTGGAGGGACTCTGAAAGGAATATAACTGCTCCGGCTCAATCTGCCAGGAGGGACTCTCTTCTCTGATATGAGCTAATCTAATCTGATGTTGGCAGAAAAGACAGCAGCTTTTATAGGCGAGCAAAGTATAATGACATTGAAAAGCAAACAGGCGAAGGTAGGGAACTATTTTAAAGGTCGGTAAGCCAGTGATTACGAAATCATCCTTCTACAAGTTCTAGAATAGTGGAGAAGTAAACCTAGAGCATCATTGCTATACACGTAGACGAAGTGAGCATTGCGTAACATTAACATAGTGACTAAGGGGTCGTCCACAAATATCGATGTTTTTTTAGAGAAGATATTCGTTCGTTTGGGGGGGAGGGGGTTTGGGCCCTGTTCGTCTCGTCTTTGCAGAAAAAAATATCGACCCTATCTATGGACGGGCGCTGTTCGAACATGTAGTTTATGACCTACACAAAGTGAAAGTCAACCTCGTGAGCATAGCCATGGCAAGGCTGTGCGACCGTGGCAACATAAACCTAGGTGTATGGTGAAATTAGAGTGGCTGCTGGTCACGTTTCATGAGGAAATTGAACTTCATTAAAAAATATCGATCCCTTGCATGAACATGTGTATGTTCGTTATGAGGGGGGGGGGGGGGGGAGGGGGTCTAGGGAGAAATGAACAAATATCGTCTTGAAAAAAACATCGATATTTACGGACGGCCCCTAAGCGAGGTATTCTAGAAGGTGAGATATCTATAATTATTATGCAATTTAGCAACATTACTCATCGGGCATATGACGTGGAAGGTCTGGAATAGTCCGGAACAACATGACATACATGACTGTACTAACTAGTAACTAAAAGGAAGTGATACTAGAAGTGATGACAGCAACATGCATGGAAGATCTATGATCTTCTAGAAGCACGGTACTCCTGATGTAATCAAGTCATGTGTGAGGTACATGAATGGGAACATGATGTAGGACTTGTCCGAAAGTAGTAAGAAGAGTAATTATAAGAGTCATGCAGAATACATGTACTAGTTATGTGTAAACTGTAAAGCAGGGATACTACAGAAGCACAAAAGGCAATAAGTAGCTGTTGAGAGTAACTTGTTCAGCATACTGCAGCAATGCTGTGTCCACAAGCAGAGCTGTTCACCAGTCGTAGTTTTCGGGGTGCTGAGTCGAATGGTCTTGGTCCGAGGAAGCTGAGACGCTCCCTTCCTCCATCATTCCTAATCGAACTCGCGGACTTCCACCGAAACTGGATGACTGCGCCCTACTAGATGGGGTATGTATGCAAAATGTCACTAAGGGCACATCACTCCTTGGCTTTTCGAGGAGTTTCGTTTTTCCGAAGAGGTGGCCTTATTGGCCTCTTCAGAAAAACGAAACTCCTCAAAACTCCTCGAAGCTCCACAACCTCATCCGATGGGAGAGGTGGATTAGTTCCGAAGAGTTTGGAATAGCTACAGTGTACGTCACGCAGTACGTGGAGATGGTAGATCTGATCGGATGTGTGTGTGTGTGTGTGTGTGTGTGTGTGTGTGTGTGTGTGTGTGTGTGTGTGTGTGTGTGTGTGTGTGTGTGTGTGTGTGTGTGTGTGTGTGTGTGTGTGTGTGTGTGTGTGTGTGTGTGTGTGTGTGTGTGTGTGTGTGTGTGTGTGTGTGTGTGTGTGTGTGTGTGTGTGTGTGTGTGTGTGTGTGTGTGTGTGTGTGTGTGTGTGTGTGTGTGTGTGTGTGTGTGTGTGTGTGTGTGTGTGTGTGTGTGTGTGTGTGTGTGTGTGTGTGTGTGTGTGTGTGTGTGTGTGTGTGTGTGTGTGTGTGTGTGTGTGTGTGTGTGTGTGTGTGTGTGTGTGTGTGTGTGTGTGTGTGTGTGTGTGTGTGTGTGTGTGTGTGTGTGTGTGTGTGTGTGTGTGTGTGTGTGTGTGTGTGTGTGTGTGTGTGTGTGTGTGTGTGTGTGTGTGTGTGTGTGTGTGTGTGTGTGTGTGTGTGTGTGTGTGTGTGTGTGTGTGTGTGTGTGTGTGTGTGTGTGTGTGTGTGTGTGTGTGTGTGTGTGTGTGTGTGTGTGTGTGTGTGTGTGTGTGTGTGTGTGTGTGTGTGTGTGTGTGTGTGTGTGTGTGTGTGTGTGTGTGTGTGTGTGTGTGTGTGTGTGTGTGTGTGTGTGTGTGTGTGTGTGTGTGTGTGTGTGTGTGTGTGTGTGTGTGTGTGTGTGTGTGTGTGTGTGTGTGTGTGTGTGTGTGTGTGTGTGTGTGTGTGTGTGTGTGTGTGTGTGTGTGTGTGTGTGTGTGTGTGTGTGTGTGTGTGTGTGTGTGTGTGTGTGTGTGTGTGTGTGTGTGTGTGTGTGTGTGTGTGTGTGTGTGTGTGTGTGTGTGTGTGTGTGTGTGTGTGTGTGTGTGTGTGTGTGTGTGTGTGTGTGTGTGTGTGTGTGTGTGTGTGTGTGTGTGTGTGTGTGTGTGTGTGTGTGTGTGTGTGTGTGTGTGTGTGTGTGTGTGTGTGTGTGTGTGTGTGTGTGTGTGTGTGTGTGTGTGTGTGTGTGTGTGTGTGTGTGTGTGTGTGTGTGTGTGTGTGTGTGTGTGTGTGTGTGTGTGTGTGTGTGTGTGTGTGTGTGTGTGTGTGTGTGTGTGTGTGTGTGTGTGTGTGTGTGTGTGTGTGTGTGTGTGTGTGTGTGTGTGTGTGTGTGTGTGTGTGTGTGTGTGTGTGTGTGTGTGTGTGTGTGTGTGTGTGTGTGTGTGTGTGTGTGTGTGTGTGTGTGTGTGTGTGTGTGTGTGTGTGTGTGTGTGTGTGTGTGTGTGTGTGTGTGTGTGTGTGTGTGTGTGTGTGTGTGTGTGTGTGTGTGTGTGTGTGTGTGTGTGTGTGTGTGTGTGTGTGTGTGTGTGTGTGTGTGTGTGTGTGTGTGTGTGTGTGTGTGTGTGTGTGTGTGTGTGTGTGTGTGTGTGTGTGTGTGTGTGTGTGTGTGTGTGTGTGTGTGTGTGTGTGTGTGTGTGTGTGTGTGTGTGTGTGTGTGTGTGTGTGTGTGTGTGTGTGTGTGTGTGTGTGTGTGTGTGTGTGTGTGTGTGTGTGTGTGTGTGTGTGTGTGTGTGTGTGTGTGTGTGTGTGTGTGTGTGTGTGTGTGTGTGTGTGTGTGTGTGTGTGTGTGTGTGTGTGTGTGTGTGTGTGTGTGTGTGTGTGTGTGTGTGTGTGTGTGTGTGTGTGTGTGTGTGTGTGTGTGTGTGTGTGTGTGTGTGTGTGTGTGTGTGTGTGTGTGTGTGTGTGTGTGTGTGTGTGTGTGTGTGTGTGTGTGTGTGTGTGTGTGTGTGTGTGTGTGTGTGTGTGTGTGTGTGTGTGTGTGTGTGTGTGTGTGTGTGTGTGTGTGTGTGTGTGTGTGTGTGTGTGTGTGTGTGTGTGTGTGTGTGTGTGTGTGTGTGTGTGTGTGTGTGTGTGTGTGTGTGTGTGTGTGTGTGTGTGTGTGTGTGTGTGTGTGTGTGTGTGTGTGTGTGTGTGTGTGTGTGTGTGTGTGTGTGTGTGTGTGTGTGTGTGTGTGTGTGTGTGTGTGTGTGTGTGTGTGTGTGTGTGTGTGTGTGTGTGTGTGTGTGTGTGTGTGTGTGTGTGTGTGTGTGTGTGTGTGTGTGTGTGTGTGTGTGTGTGTGTGTGTGTGTGTGTGTGTGTGTGTGTGTGTGTGTGTGTGTGTGTGTGTGTGTGTGTGTGTGTGTGTGTGTGTGTGTGTGTGTGTGTGTGTGTGTGTGTGTGTGTGTGTGTGTGTGTGTGTGTGTGTGTGTGTGTGTGTGTGTGTGTGTGTGTGTGTGTGTGTGTGTGTGTGTGTGTGTGTGTGTGTGTGTGTGTGTGTGTGTGTGTGTGTGTGTGTGTGTGTGTGTGTGTGTGTGTGTGTGTGTGTGTGTGTGTGTGTGTGTGTGTGTGTGTGTGTGTGTGTGTGTGTGTGTGTGTGTGTGTGTGTGTGTGTGTGTGTGTGTGTGTGTGTGTGTGTGTGTGTGTGTGTGTGTGTGTGTGTGTGTGTGTGTGTGTGTGTGTGTGTGTGTGTGTGTGTGTGTGTGTGTGTGTGTGTGTGTGTGTGTGTGTGTGTGTGTGTGTGTGTGTGTGTGTGTGTGTGTGTGTGTGTGTGTGTGTGTGTGTGTGTGTATCCCTTTGAGCACGCTCAGCATCACCGACCACCTCACGGATCCATTGTTCCTTTGCACCACGCACCGCCCTCGCAACCGACCGCTGGGCTGATCTAAATCCGGAACGTGTCGTTTGATTGCCTGCCGACAACATTCGTTCATGGGCACGTCGCTTCGCCTCAATAAGTGGCTCCAATGCTGCCCTATTCTCCAGAAACCAGTCTGGTTGCCGCCGCCGACCATGGCCCAGTGTTCTCTCCGCTACGCTGGTGATGTCATCACGAAGGGAATTCCAGGTCTCTTCAACACTCTGGCCACCACCGACCGCGCCACCACAGGCTGCCTCCATTGACTCTCGGTACTGCAGTAACGTATCAGGCTCACGCAGGCGATGGGTGGCATACGACCTCCGCTTAGGGACAGTGGATCTACGTTGGACGAAGTCCAGGACAAGCTTGGCCCGAACCATGTAGTGGTCAGTCCAGCACAGTGCGCCGCGGACAACACCAACGTCCTTACAGTAGCAGCAATGAGCTGTACGCATGATGACATAATCAATGAGATGCACTTGGCGAGTGGCTGGATGAGTCCATGTTCCACGCTTACTTCGTCCCTTCTTGTACCATGTATTCATTACTGACAATTGATTAGCTGCACAGAATGACAACAGCTCCTCACCAGCCCGATTGCAATTTCCAAGGCCAAATTGGCCCAAGACACAACCCCACATCCGCTCATCCCCTGGCATGCCATCGATACGACTCACAGCGCTGTCTGCATAGTCAGTGCTGGACCCGACGCGCGCGTTCAAATCCCCAAGGAGCACAAGAACATCTCTGGATGGGATACTGTCCACAACTCGTTGCAAGTCATCGAAAAACTTGCGTCTTACGTTCGGTGGGGCTTTACTCGTTGGAGCATAAACATTGACGATAGAGACACAGAAATCTGCGTGTCGCTTACCTCCACCAGGGAGTTTATCACCTCGCTTGGCGACAAGAAGACGAGCAGTGACAATACGCGAACTGACGGCGCTCCACTGCTCCCCTCCGCTCTTCCACATCCCGGTCACGGCGGAATTCATCAAAATTCCAACTCCCTCGTTCCGGCGGCCGGGCTCACTCCCCAAAGGCAAAGGCCTCCCAGAGTGTAACAACGTACCGCTCCCAGCAGGCCAGACGTCGCTTCCAAACCATTTCGTCTCCTGAATACCAGCAACGTCCACGCCGAACCTGCCGAGTTCCTCCACAAGAAAATCCAGTTTCCTGTCAACGGCGGTATCCGAGACATTTTTATTTTTACGGCATATTTTGGCATCACCAGCGTCCTCCACCAAGGACCGAACGTTCCATGTCGCAGTGACCAGTGTCCCCTTCGCCTTCGTCTTCCCCGTCCTCCTCGTTGAGCGTGCTCAAAGGGATGGCTGTGTGAGGTGGAAATGCATCCGAAAATTGCAGCGAGTGGATGATGGCAGGCGTACGGTCACACCCTCGGCGGTTTATGATGGAGACGGACACCTTACTGACAGCCCGGAAAGTCTTGTTACGCGTTGGCATGCACACTTCGACAGAGTGCTCAACATTGCTAGTCAGTTTAGTATGCATGTCATTGATAACATGCCTACTGCTGAGCCGCGTCATGAACTTGACATGGCCCCGACATTTGAGGAGGTGATGGCTGCGATGCGGAGGATGAGTAGGGGCACGGCTGGTGGCTCGTCAGGTATTGTGCCGGAATTGGTGCTGGGTGGCGGTCTTGCTCTCCACCGGCGTATTCATTCTCTGATTTCCCAGATTTGGGCAGGTGGCTCCGTTGTTTCTGAGTGGCGCGACGCTGAGATTGTACCCATACCGAAGAAAGGCGACCTACGGTCATGTGACAATTGGCGAGGCATCAGCCTGTTGGATGTAGTCGGTAAGCTGTTTGCACGGGTTATCCAGGATCGCCTTCAGGAACTGTCCGAGGATGTGCTGCCTGAGTCACAGTGCGGTTTTAGGAAGGGACGTGGGTGCGTCGACATGGTGTTTGTGGCGCGCCAGCTAATCGAGAAGGCCATCGAACATGATACGCCACTGTATGTCATATTTGTCGACCTGAAGAAGGCTTATGACAGCATACCTCGTGAGGCGTTGTGGCTTGTCCTCGGGAAGCTCGGTATTCCACCTACCCTTCTCAGCTTGATTCGGTCCCTACATGTCGGCATGAGGGCTCGGGTTCGTATATCTGGTCGCTTGACGGAGGACATATATGTTAACAATGGTCTTCGCCAAGGCTGTACTCTTGCCCCCACCCTATTCAATCTGTATTTTGCTGCCGTAATGTCGTCTTGGCGTTCCCGCTCTTCTGTTCCCGGCGTGTCCCTGCGCTCACGCCCTGGCCGGAAGCTTGTTGGGGATCGAACAACCAAGGCGCGACTGAACACGTACCAAGTTACCGAGTCCCAGTTCGCTGATGATGCCGCTGTATACACCACATCAAGAGAACATCTGGAGACCCTGGCAAACGAGTTCATCGCCTGTGCCTCTCAGTGGGGTCTCACTGTCAGCATCGCCAAGACAAAGGCCATAGCAGTCGGCCCGGGGGACCTACAACCTGATGTCGTCCTCGATGATGGTGGAGTTGTGGAGATGGTCTCCGGCTTTACTTACCTCGGTAGTGTGGTGAGTTGCGATGGGTCACTGGACGTGGAGATCACCTCCCGCTTGGCCAAGGCATCTCGTGTGTTTGGTTGCCTCCTGACCCCGATTTTCCGGTGCCGGGGTTTATCCATCGACATTAAGTGCACGGTATATCGCGCTTTTGTCCTGAGCACTCTGTTCTACGGTGCAGAGACATGGGCTGTGAAGGCTACCCACGTCCATCGGCTGACCGTCTTCCATCGCTCCTGTATTCGGTCTATCCTCGGTGTATCGCGGATCCAGCAGTGGGAGGACAGGCTCACATCGGCAGAATTGGGCAGGCGATTTGGCATGTCTCTTGACATCTCCGATTTGCTCCGACAGCATCGTCTGCGCTGGCTGGGGCACATTGCCCGTATGGAGGAACACCGCACTCCGCAGCAGATGGTATTTGGCGAGTTATATGCCACTCGCCCCCGCCACGGTCCGAAGAAGCGATGGCGTGACGTTGTTGTCACTGATCTAGCTGCGGCACAGATCGGAGAGGGAGAATGGTTCCATCAAGCCCAGGATCGCCCAACCTGGAAGCGGTTGTGTCGTCAGCAGCCTCCTCCACCCGGACCGAAAGAGTTCCGTTGCGCATGTGGCAGTCCCTTTGGCCGCATTGGGGACCTGAGGAGGCACGCCCCCCACTGCCGCGTCTGAGCCATCATCGCTACGCGATGGGCGTCCAAGGTCCAAGGTGTGTGTGTGTGTGTGTGTGTGTGTGTGTGTGTGTGTGTGTGTGTGTGTGTGTGTGTGTGTGTGTGTGTGTGTGTGTGTGTGTGTGTGTGTGTGTGTGTGTGTGTGTGTGTGTGTGTGTGTGTGTGTGTGTGTGTGTGTGTGTGTGTGTGTGTGTGTGTGTGTGTGTGTGTGTGTGTGTGTGTGTGTGTGTGTGTGTGTGTGTGTGTGTGTGTGTGTGTGTGTGTGTGTGTGTGTGTGTGTGTGTGTGTGTGTGTGTGTGTGTGTGTGTGTGTGTGTGTGTGTGTGTGTGTGTGTGTGTGTGTGTGTGTGTGTGTGTGTGTGTGTGTGTGTGTGTGTGTGTGTGTGTGTGTGTGTGTGTGTGTGTGTGTGTGTGTGTGTGTGTGTGTGTGTGTGTGTGTGTGTGTGTGTGTGTGTGTGTGTGTGTGTGTGTGTGTGTGTGTGTGTGTGTGTGTGTGTGTGTGTGTGTGTGTGTGTGTGTGTGTGTGTGTGTGTGTGTGTGTGTGTGTGTGTGTGTGTGTGTGTGTGTGTGTGTGTGTGTGTGTGTGTGTGTGTGTGTGTGTGTGTGTGTGTGTGTGTGTGTGTGTGTGTGTGTGTGTGTGTGTGTGTGTGTGTGTGTGTGTGTGTGTGTGTGTGTGTGTGTGTGTGTGTGTGTGTGTGTGTGTGTGTGTGTGTGTGTGTGTGTGTGTGTGTGTGTGTGTGTGTGTGTGTGTGTGTGTGTGTGTGTGTGTGTGTGTGTGTGTGTGTGTGTGTGTGTGTGTGTGTGTGTGTGTGTGTGTGTGTGTGTGTGTGTGTGTGTGTGTGTGTGTGTGTGTGTGTGTGTGTGTGTGTGTGTGTGTGTGTGTGTGTGTGTGTGTGTGTGTGTGTGTGTGTGTGTGTGTGTGTGTGTGTGTGTGTGTGTGTGTGTGTGTGTGTGTGTGTGTGTGTGTGTGTGTGTGTGTGTGTGTGTGTGTGTGTGTGTGTGTGTGTGTGTGTGTGTGTGTGTGTGTGTGTGTGTGTGTGTGTGTGTGTGTGTGTGTGTGTGTGTGTGTGTGTGTGTGTGTGTGTGTGTGTGTGTGTGTGTGTGTGTGTGTGTGTGTGTGTGTGTGTGTGTGTGTGTGTGTGTGTGTGTGTGTGTGTGTGTGTGTGTGTGTGTGTGTGTGTGTGTGTGTGTGTGTGTGTGTGTGTGTGTGTGTGTGTGTGTGTGTGTGTGTGTGTGTGTGTGTGTGTGTGTGTGTGTGTGTGTGTGTGTGTGTGTGTGTGTGTGTGTGTGTGTGTGTGTGTGTGTGTGTGTGTGTGTGTGTGTGTGTGTGTAGCATTATAGTAATAATGCAACTGTCTTAGGCCGATTCCACACTACGCCGAAAGTGGCTTTGCCTTGAAGGCATAAAGTGGCTTATAAAGTGAAGCTGCATTCACACCTACAAGTGTCGATCACGGGACTTTGCTTTGAAGGTTAGACTGTGAGGCTTTCCTGTGCTTGATCTAGCAACGGCGGTAGTGGAGAGGCTCTTTGTTGGGCCAAATCCTCGAATATCACCCATTTTCGCGTGCCCAATCTTGAAATTTGACCACGCTAGAGCGCGCTGTGTAGGCGGATTCCAGATCATAGGTCGAATATTTGTCAACCTCGCCAACAGGCATTCCGGTGGCAGTTTTCGTTGTGTATGTCTCGTACAGTCCTTTCGCCTTCGTTTTCATGTTGTCGATTTTGGAATGGACGATCGACGCAGTATATTGCCTCCTCCCGGAGCTGTTCAGCAAACAAATTCAGCTTGATGGCGATCTCCTCCGGCGTAGCTCCTGCGAACTGTACCGGCCGGAGGTCGCCTCAAATGTCCGCTCCAAAGCTCGATCAGCTTGCCCTCAAGCTCCTGGCTAAACATGACCCTAGGCATTGTTGACAGCTCACAACTCACCACAACTGAAAGATACGACAGGGAACATATTCGGAAAAAATCGAAAGGCTGAAGAAAGTCAGAAAAGTGTCCTGAAAAGGTAAAAAGTTGCCTTGAAAGAGGGTGCTGGTGTTGCTTTGTAGACAACAAGCACTTTTCACTTTCGCGCGTTTCTCAAAGTGATCGCCATGGCAACTTGCCTGAAAAGTGCCTGAAAAATGGCTTTTTAGGCAGGATTTGGTGTAGTGTGGAATCGGCCTTACTGGTTCTCATCCGTGTTGCTTGAACTCTTGTCAGTGTCCTCTTTACCACATGCTGTCTCAATCCACACACATTTAATGCCTAGCTACCCAGGGGGCTTTTTGTCCTCGTCCCTCTCTTGGCTCCGCCAAGATCTCTCTCTGCAGTGCCCCCTCTCTGACTCCTCCCTTGGCTCCGCCAAGATCCTGCTCCGGCAGTGACCCCTCTCTGACCTCTCGTAGATACTTGGCTCCGCCAACATTCTGCTCCAGCAGTGTCTACGTATATCTCTTGTCTGACCTCTCTCTTGGCCCTGCCAAGATTCTGCTCCGGCAGTGACCCCTCTCTTTACTCAGGGCCCTCGGTCGCCGTCCCTCGGACGCAGACTCTTGTAGATACTTGGCTCCGCCAACATTTTGCTTCGGCAGTGTCTACCCGGCCGACCCTGAATCCTCTCTCGTAGATACTTGGCTCCGCCAACATTCTGCTCCGGCAGTGTCTACGTATTACTCTTGTCTGACCTCTCTCTCTTGGCCCTGCCAAGATCCTGCTCCGGCAGTGATCCCTCTCTTTACTCAGGGCCCTCG